GGATTACCAAGCGAGTCACAAACTTGATTCTTAAGAGACACATTACCCCCCCCCCCCTTTTTTTAATAGGGACATGATGCCCCAATATTGTTCAGCTAAAATGGCCTGATATTTAGCGTTGTAACATTCTATCTTTGAAAAACATTCCCTGGAAGAAGCACCAAAGAAATCATCAGTTTAGCAATATCACGCCTTCAATGGAGAATTCATGGGAATCCAGAAGATATAATTGATTTATAACAGAGAGAATTTCTTGTTTAAGCAAAGAAAGTTTCTGCATGATAAATAGAAAAAAGACAAAGAGAGGTGGTTTACAAATGCTACTTCTAGACCAAGTAGGAATTTCTTCTAATACAATGGTTAAAACTAAAAAAGATGTGCAAGTGGAAAATTGGTGAGAAGCTGGGATCTACCACAGATCTGGACATCTGCATGCTCTGATGAAAAAAATTGAGAATCTATGACAGTTAACACTTTGTGCAACAGTCAGCTTACAACTCAATGAATTTAGTTGCTTCATGGCACATGCACAAGTTATTATGACAAATCGAATAAAATGAGATAGACATGATTTAAATGTCGAAACATTTGCTTGGGCCTAATAGCCATTGTACTAGCATTTTACAAGTGCAAAAAGATAGTCTTCTACCTCTTCTGTTCCCAGTGGAGGCTGCCGTGGTTTTCCCCATACTAGTGACAATTTGTCAAACTGCGGAAGGAAAACTGCCATAGATCAAACGCAAAAAGAGGACTAATGGAATTATAACTTATAGAAATAGAAAAATAAGGAGATTAGAAGTCCCCGAAATAATTCAAGCTACCCTATTTTTCCCATAGGGGGAGGGGAAGGGGGAAATAGGGGAGGGAATACTCTATGGAGAATCAAACCCTCACTACATGGTGAAGGTTTGGGCATCTCACCATGTGAGCTACCCTGAATCCCCATCCTTGCTAGTATGATTCATACTGTTGGTAGCTTAGGCTTTTTGTAATTAGTTAGATCAAGATTGATCTACTATTCCCTGCACATATGGTTATGCACTGCCTTAGTGCAGTTTTATTTATACAAATGTTACCATTCTCAAAAAAAACTGTTGGTAGCTTAGGCAATTAAATAATAATAATAATAATAATAATAATAATAATAATAACAACAACAAAAACAACAACAAAAAAACAACAACGACAAAGGGCAGCCTGGTGCACTAAGCTCCTGCTATGCACGGGGCCCGGGGAAGGGCTGTACCACACGGGTCTATTATACGCAGTCTTAGACTGCATTACTGCAAGAGGCTTTAAATAATAACAATAACAATAATAATAATAATATATAATAATAATAATAATAATATATTGTTATTATTTTTTTGATAAAGCAGTATTATTATTATTATTTATAAGAAGCTTAGACAATAAATTATACTTTAAAATACTATTCTCAAGCATAAAAGTTCCTAGATTATTTGGTTTGACCTTGTGAAGAGAAGGAAATTTTAGGTGTTGTGAAAGTAAACCATATAGAGGATGCTGCTAATAAGCTAGCTTTCATTAGAATTCATCAGAATTAAAAAAGAATAAAAGTACTTTCGTCTGTAAAACTACAGCACCTAGTTAGTGTTTGCTATTTAATAAAATAATCTTTCACTGATAAAAAATGTACTTCTTAGATATCACTACAAGTCCAACTATTGGCAAGGGCACGCCACTGAAGGGAAAGCATTTCCTATACATTTTTCATCAGTAAAAAGAAAATATGTCAAATACTTCATCCTTCTCAATCTGACCTCGAGGCTAACACACATTCTAGAACATCAAGGAAAAGAAACGATTTGTCACTATGGTTGGTTTAGGAAAAAGCTACTCTTAATTTTGAAGGACGTTATATCACTCAAGGTAAACATGAAAGTCAAAGGACAATTTGAACTCTTTTTCTGATAAATAAGGAGTGAAGTAGAATTATCTCTTTATCAAATGCTTCATCTTTCCCATACTCTATAATGTACGCTAAGAGTTGTCACAGATACTGAGAATACTCAATGACTTAACTGATAGGACATTTAAAAGGCATACCGACTCATAATATTAGGCAAACTGATTTCCAGTAATTAGTTCTTGCGTGGAACCCGCTTTTACCATTTTGAGGAAAAGATAACCTTTTCTAAGAAAATCACTGAATACAACAACGCTATGACAGCACTAAGCCTCAACCCAAACTGATTATTCGACAGCCATATGAATCCTCTTTGCCCATTATGCTCCAGATGGCCCTGTTTCACTCCAATACTCAAAAGTTTGTAATAATGTGCATAGTAGGAGTTCTAAGTTTCTCTGAGTCCTACTTTATCAAAATAAGGTTCTCTAAGTCCCACAATTATCCCTAGTAGGAGTTCTAAGGTTTTCTATAAGAAATGAAGAAAGCTACTGGCATACCCGGGAATAATGTAAGTGAACACATGACTAACCATATAAATATAAATGCAGAAACAAAGATTAAAATATGCAAGTTTTTCACCTCCAAGGGATCTGCAGGCACTTGAACATCTTCAGGCAACTTAACATCATTAGAGTCGGCAATGCGAGGATAATCATTTGTTTTTTGGTCTTGCTTCCTCCTGTCATTAGGAATGAAACCATCTCCCTGAGCTTCACGAAAAAGTTGAGATGTTGTTTCACGAGCAAATCTGGTCACAAGAGAAAATTTCTCTAGCACTTGAATTGACAAATCTCGAGCAGGATCATTATGTTTTTGCCATTGCCTGGCATTTTCTTGAAGATATGCAGAATTTCTATCAAAAGTTTCCCCATCAGTAGGTGCAGTAGCTGAAGATGGACTGTTAGCTACAGAAACAGCCCTAGGAAGCTCCAAGGAGGAGAGAGTTCTCTGTAAGAAGCAAATCAAAGTATGAGCAGAAGTGAGTATTCATGAATCATGATGAAGCTCTTCACACAAGCTCTTAAATTGGTTAACCAATTGATTAATCAACACTGGTCACACCTGGAGAGGATCTTGAAAGTCGTTGACGAGAAATACATTAGCATCTTCAGCTGACCTGGAAACATACAACTCATCAGTAAGAAAGGGAACGCCTTTATCTAACAAAAACGTTATCTCTCCCACTACTAGTTCGCTGCAACAAGAAAAATTGTAACAAAAACAAATCGAGATCCCAATTTCTAGCAGTATGAGACTATGAGAAAATATACTTTTTTGACAGGCTAGCATCAGCAAATATACTTTAAAACCTGGAAACAATTGGTCGCTGGTATACCTTCAATTGAGCTACTTTAAAAACCTGAAAAGAATTCATAGTAGGTATGCCTGTAATACAGCTGGATTACCATTGAATATCAACTAGAGGTGACACCACATTATAGTATTTGCAAATGGCTTTACCCTTCCATCTATGACATCCTTAGACCTTTTTTTTTTTTTTTGCCGAAATCTCTCTCATCCACCAAAAACAAAACAGTAAGCTATTTGATCTTCATACGACATCGCAATTAATTTATTTACTGTCATTTATCGTCAAGCATCAATTCATTTGTGAACTATCTAGTTTTAGTTTCTACTCTCATTTTTATGAACTCTGGCCCCAAAAAGAATGCTGAGATGAAATTGGTTTACTAGTGTTATTGCTTATTCATGATAATGACAAAGCCAATGCACTAAAGAACAAATAAGTCCACCTCACAAGATATGCATGTTGCTTAATTGTTGCAAGAAATTCCCGGACACCACCATTGTAGAAATAAAGTGGAGGAAATGCCAGTCCTGCAAGTGATGTATGTAGGAAGTAAGCTCAAGATGCAATAGTTGCAGTCAATAAACTGATAATATGATGATAACAGAATTATAAAGAATCCGCTAAAAAGCTGAGCGGAAATATCATAAGGTAGATAGCATACAAGAATTTATCCATATATATATATATATATATATATATATATATATATATATATATATATATATATATATATATATATATATATATATATATATATATGCATTATACAATTCTAAGAAGAATTATCTTCTTCAATCATATCTATTCCAAAATAATGCTGATTAGAGAGAGTTGCTAAAGAAAGTAAAATCCATTCAAAAACAACAGAGAATGGCTAAAAAGAAATAACTTAACTCAAATTGATATTTCATACATAGCCAACCACTAAAAAGAATTTGTTGCCTGCTCCACTTTTTTTGTACATAGGTTGACACAGTTGGTGCCACAATAGAGAAAAAACGGAGCTACTTTTACAAGCGAACAAACATATACAGAAAATTACCCAAAACTGGTCCATAATGTCAAAATACCTTGCCTCCAGTGCCTTGTGTGATAAGAAGGTGTCACTAAGACTTCAAAAGGTAAGTTCTACATATTGGTGGTTAGACCATCTATGTTGTATGGGGCGGAATATTGGCCAGTTAAGAACTCCCATGCCAGAAGTTGAAGGTAGCAGAAATGAGGATGTTGAGATGGATGTGTGGCATACTAGGAGAGACAAGATCAGGAATGAGGTTATTCAGGATAAGGTGGGGTGGCCCCCGTTGAGGATAAGCTGCGAGAAGTGAGACTGAGATGGTACGGGCATGTGAGAAGGAGATGCCCAAAGGCACCAGTAAAGAGGTGTGAGAGATTGCACAGGGGGATTCTAGGGAGTGGCATAGGGAGGTCTAATAAGTATTGGGGAAAGGTGATTAGGCATGATATGGCGCTTCTGCAGCTTACTGTAGACATGACCTTGATAGGAAGCTGTGGAGGTCGAAAATTAGGATAGAAGGTTAGTAGGTAGCATAGCATACTTCCCTTTATTTTCGATTACTTTAGCATTACGCTAGTTGTGGTCTATTCTTTGCAAATTATTATCTGTTATTGCTTCTGGTTCATTTTGTTTAACTATAGATATTGCTCATGTTTCTTCCTAAATTTTATTTTTCCTTCATATTTTTATATTTTTTCTATTTATATATTGCATTTCTTTATTGCTGTTTACTGTGGTTATTTGAGTCGAGCGTCTTCGAGAAACAACCACTCTACCCGCACAAGGCAGGGGTAAGGTCTGCGTATACACTACCCTCCTAGACTCCACTTATGAGAATATACTAGGCAAGTTGTTGTTGTTGCAAGATCTTGCGAGCTGTTTCAAAAACAGACAAATAAATGAGTAGCCTTTCACTATCAAGTTCAATCAATTCATCGTCCTCACTATTCTTCCCAACCTAAGATTGAGTTTGCAGAAGCCAAAAATGACAAATAAGACAGTGAAAGTTACTGTGAGAAATAATGACACGGGAAATTATATTAATATTATATTAACTAAAGTGTCTTACAATAGACCTATTTATATACATTGTTTACATAGAATTAGATATCTATTTCCCGATGTGGGACACTATACATAATAACTATCTAACTTTCCTTCTACATGCTTATTTTACATACAAAAAGAGCGGAAAAATTACGAGAAAGGAAACATTTCCAATTGACACCAAAATTTATTTAAACAAGAATAGAGAAAACTTAAAACTTTAGCTCTGCAACAAAAAAAAATAGCTATTTCTTGGTTTGTCTTTTTTTCTTCTGCCTGCTTAATTCCACTCCCATTTCCTGTAGGAAACATTTCCAATTGACACCAAAATTTATTTAAACAAGAACAGAGAAAACTTAAAACTTTAGCCCTCCAACAAAAAAAAAACTATTTTTTGGTTTGTCTTTTTTCTTCTGTCTGCTCAATTCCACTCCCATTTCCTGTTACAGCCACTCTATTCAGATATGTTTTGGACAGCTAATCCAGCAGTCTATAGCTTGTCAAGTTAGTGGGGCTAACAGTGGGGTTTCATGTTGCTACTCACTTAACTTGGTAAGGGAAATTCCCTTGAGTTCACCTTTTCAGTTTTCAATTATGGGACAGCAGAAACATTACAAGCTTCATTCCACAGTAACTAATTAACCCATCATAATGTATACTTACATATGTCAAAAACCAGCAACCTCTAAATATAACAAAAATAAACTTTAACCTAAAAATATAAAAACAAAAATATCCTCACTCAGGGCAGATTAGTTTTAGGTTCGCGTCGCATACTGAGTTTCTAGTTTGCAGCTAAAACCAAAGTTATCCACATAATGAGGACCAATTTGATTTACCATAGATTTGTCTTAGGCTACCATCTAGTTCATGCTCCGTGAATTATAACATTGCCATGATATCAAAATAGTGAAATTTACAAGAACATGCTGGAGAAACCCTAGATCTAATGAACAAAATTATAAGATTTAAAGAGGCTTAATCATGCAGGGAGAGAGCATACGTACAACTTCAACATACACATCCGACTTCCTAATCGCTAGATTCTCAAGATATACAAAAAAAAAATCAGTCAAGGAAACATATAGTACTAGATTTAGCAACTTTGGACTCGGCAAGGAGTAATTGCACATCAACATTTTAACTTGAAAGGCCATACATGTCCACAAGTGAACAAGGGTAACAACTTGAACTAATCTATCAAAACAGCACTTCAAATTTGCTACTATGAAAAAGATGCACTAATAAAATACAGCACAGCTAAATACCTGATGATAAAACTACAATAACATATTGCCACCCCAGGGTGGGAGTGTGTCTGCGAATCGACCTAACATCTGAGAATGGAACTGCTCGTATAGTATAAAGACTCTTATCTGCACCAAGATATATAAAGAACAACCATTACACAACAGCCCATGGAAAATTAGCTGCAGACAGCTGTTCTTTCCTCTGAGTCACAGTACAGATAATTGACCCCCACCTTTTTCAGACAACCTTGCACTCGAGCTTTGCCCTTTATAAGGAATCCAAGTCTGTCACAGCAAAAACAATTCAATTGCACAATCAGAGGGTAGAGCCAAAAATTTAATTATGTGCTACAAATGTTAGAGACAACCCCTCTCCCTTCCTCCTTGTTTTATGTGACAGCAACGCTTTGCTTTAGTTACATCAAGAATTTAAGAATCCAGCTCTTTACATCCCTATATAAGAAGCAAAGCACAAGGAAACATGATTTCATAGCAATGAAAATTTGACCATTTAAGAACTATGTTTCACATCCATCTCCATGTTACTTAGGATTGAATATGGATCATCTCCCTCATTTTTCATTTTGTGGCACATAAACAATGACTTGACGACATTCATATAACCTCCTACCGTTATGCACCAAAAGTGAAACTTTGTTTCTCCCTCAAAACTATCAAAAAGTAAGTTCGCCTAAATGAGAGTTGAACCAGTTGTAAACCTACTTCCCTTCACTAACACCACATGTTGGACCATAAAAACATTTCCCACTCAGAAATCTAACCAGACAGGAGAAAAATAATTAAAAGACAAAATAAAAGCAAAAGAGAAAAGTCAGCACTCTCCCCTTGCACCTCTGTTTTCATCCATTGGAAAAAGAAAAAAAAAGGAACAAGAACAATGAACGGAAATGAAAAGGAAACAAAAAGGAAAAAAGAAAGGAACATGGGGTATTTTTGTCACAGCTTTTGATAGTTTGAAAGTATAAACTAAAAAAGGTTATAGTTTCACTTTAATCCGGGTTACAAGTTAATGTGTACATTTGAAAGGCCAATGGTACAAAAGAACGAGCTTGAGAATATTTTCTCTCACTCTCTAGACCATATTTATTCCAGAAACTTCAAAAAGCTTGAAACCTTGGCAATAGAAAGCTTCGTATCGTGCTTAAAAGAGAAGGAATAATGATCCTCATAGTCTGTAATCAAAGATTTGAGATTTAATTCACATTGCAAGCACAAAGTAGATGTATACCATAAACAGAGAACCTCCTTGCTTGATCAGCTTTAGTCTACCACTAATCCTCTCTGAAGCGTACTGAGTCGGATGAATTGCCACATTATCTTTCAAATATACTATTTCAGCACCTTCTTGTTCACCTGATGAACTCTGCTTACTGCTATCACTCCTATTCATGCTTGCTGAACCCTGAAAGCTCATCCACAGACAACAGAAACCAAATTCAATTTGTCATTTCATATTAATATTTTTTTAAATCATTTTAAATTACTAATTAGAATACATCAAACAAAAACCCGCTTCCCCTCCACGCGCCATCAAGTGGTCATGCTAGAGACGTAAAACGGCCGTGCATAATTAAATTATGAGATCCTTCAGAAATCAGAATGAGCTGGGAGAATCTTGTTTGTTCTCTTTCATTTCTCAATTGAAAAAGCAAATGGAAAATAAATCACCAAGTACAAAAATAAGTATAACCACCAGCAGAAACTAGTAAGGTTCAATTCAACATTTACTCCGTCAGAGCTCCATAATTCATATTAATTTTACGACTGCATTGTTGATATTGATCTGAAAACAGATGGTAGGTACAACTAGCACAGTATATAGATTCCACCGATAGTCATTAGGGCCTTTCCGCAGTCTATTAAATTGACAGTTGTTCCAAATGATCCAAATGGCCACTTACGAATAGAACTCGTATGCTCTTTTGGCTAAGGGCTTCTCAACACCTGGAAGCTAAACCGGTGCTGTCAAATACCAAACCGCAATGATTAAGGTAGGTATAGTAATGCTATGGACAGCTTGCTAAATTGGGTGCTAACAAATAATCAAACTGCAATTACTAAGGTATCGTAATGTCCCCAGCGCTTTGGTCTAATGGTAAGAACATAGCGCATAATGTGTGGGTTAGGTGCTCGTCACGAATTTGAATCTTGCCGCGGACAATATCCAACAACTTTGGTGTAACTCGTGTGCCCGCAGAGATTTATTGGTTATAAAAAATGACTAAGGTAGTAATTGTATGGACAGCCTGCTTAATTATCATAGAGTAATAAAACTACGCAAATTACACAGCATACGCACAAATTTAACTTATCCGAATGTACAGTAATTATCAGCAGTTAAACACAGTTCATCATAAGTCCTCAATAATCAAGTTTAATTTAACCTCAAAATAATCACACACAAAAAATCGGCAAGTAATAAAAAAAGGTGCTCAGTATAAAATCAGTTAATGCACAAATACGTAAATAAACATAGTAAAGTACTAACCTAACAATTTGAATATAACGATGAGATAAACATCACAAAACAATCAGCAGTTAAACAAAATACACCTAAAACTAATCACAAAATATGCAATTGATCAAATAAAATGCTCAACATAAAATCAATTAATGCACACAAACGTAAATAAATCATTGTAAAGTACTAATTATACGATTCGAACACAGCGATGAGATAAAAATGATTTGCGAATTGTGAATTGCTTACTTGCTGAATAGAAGCAGCGTAATCGGCGTCGTCGGAGAGATCGTGTATGTCAATTTCATGCATCGCCGGTGAATTTAATGGAGGTTCTGGCTGAGTGAGGGGTGGGGGGAGCTTTTCCTGTGTTTGGGGGGGGGGGGGGGGTTATGTTGAAGTAGAAAGCTTGTCTTAGAGACGAAGGAAAAGGTGAGAATGAGCAGGTGACGGTTTTCGTTTTCCCGTGGGACTTGTGTGAACGAAAATTTATATATTCTTTTTTATCGGGTATTAAATATCCACTTTAGGATTAATTAATCCGATTTTACTTTAGAATTAAATTATCACTCAAATTCGAAATATTTAATTAAGAATTCGACTAACTGTTAGATTAAGGATAAAATTAGATTAATTCGACTCATGGCTGTGATTCCACAATCTTTATATATTCATTAGTCCTATATTGTATATTTTTCTTTTTCAGAAAATTTGATGTAAAATGTCGTTCGCGTCATAGTAAAAAACTTAAATTTGATTTTGACTTTTATAATTATCGAATTTAAAGTTATATGAGTATTATGTGGTGATAAATTAAAGTTTAAGAATATTATTTTAATTTATGGATAACTACAAGACTTGAACTTATATGTAATTAAGTTACATACAAATTGTTATTTCTAGTGACCATAAATTACCCGAATTCTGGAGATTTAGTCCTTTTTTAAAATCCACAATTGAGAGCAGAAATCGAGGCATCTATAGCAAAATCGCAGCAAATTGGAGAATTCAGTATTTGCTAAATGTGAAGTTGATAAGTATTATCCTGTTTTTAAAAAGTTACCACTCTTAGGATAAGTAAATGAATGAGACCATATAAACTTAGATTTTTAATAACAATCAGGCAATTGCTAAAATATGCTGGAATTTCCTCAAGTTATTTAGAAAGTCAAAGAAGTTTACTTTATAGAAGCTTATCTAGTCTAGCTCTTAATGAGAAAGGAGAAAAAAAGGAGCTAATTAGTACGACTTTAGTTTTGCACTGCTGTAGACAATCTGTAATTGTAAAGGTTTGTAACATGTTTCTATAATTTATCAATGAACAAGATGTGTTTACTAACAGTATGGTATGGTGAGGAATGCAGAGTGGGATTTGTTTCAAAATGGGTTGTGGGGGCGGCTCTGTTAACTTTTTCGCTCGAGCCGTGAAAACAATCTCTTGCAAAAGTATAAAGTAAACCTGTATACAATAAATCCGACATGGTATGGTCCTTTCCAAGAACTGTGCACAATGGGAGTTTAGTGCACCAGACTGTCTTTGTTAACTTTTTGTCTTGTTGCGGGTTGTTGGTCATGCTATGAAAATAACCTCTTGCAGAAATGCAAAGTAAACATGCATACAATAAATGCGACATGCTTCGGTCTTTTTCAAGAACTATGCACGATGGGAGTTTAGTGCGCCTGCCATTTCTTATTAATGCTTTAACGTAAGACTTGTTTGCTATTGGATTTGGATGGCTTTTTTAGAAGGGATTCCGTTTGATCTAGCGAGTAATCAAGACACACATTAATTACTTGTATTTTTATGTTTTTGCACTTTATCATATTTTCATATTGACTAATGACCATTACCATTTCATTTTCTTGACCGTTGGCTAATATTTCTTGGTTTTCTGGGATATGCTCTTTATGCTTGCTGATCTCAGAACCTCCGGTAGCACAGCTAAGACATCGACGGGTTTCCTATCCCTATAGGGATGGAGCGACAGAAGTTTTTTTAAGAATTCAAGTATAACTAGCATAAAATGTTCATCATCTTTAAATAGAGGAAAATTATCTAAAGACAATTTAGAAACAAATATATA